TGTGTTATGTATAATTTGGGTAATTGGTAACAGCAAACCAGTTGAAAAGTTTGACTCAACAGTTCATCATGGAGACAGAAAGGCGCATCTGAAGTTTCTTTACATTTAAATGCAGCCTCCATCAAAGGCATTTGTCCACTATGTGTGGCACTAATGGAAAGTGAAGGATTTGTGCTGATAGCCAATGCATTATACTTTTTAAATAACTTTGGATTGTTTTTCTAAAAGGTAGTATGCAGGATAGTTTCTACAACACAACATTTTTTTTCCAAATATGTTTGCAGAAAATATAAGAATAGTACTGGATTGCAGAAATACTACATCGAACAAACTGTCACATAACATGTTAGGGAAAAAGTAAATGGAATAATTCCTGTGCTTCATGTGCTTCTGAGCTAATGTCAGGTTATTTGAGAATGTGCTGTCTGATTACTTAGGCTTGCAGTTTAACACTTAAAGGCCCCCTGAAATCAAAATGTAAGTTTTATAGCTTTTAGTATGTATGTTAGCCTTAATGTTATGAATAAGGTGGTGTGTTCCAAAACAATGACAACATTCTTGTTTAGAAGATATAAGCATTCAAAATTTACAGTCTCTCACTTCCACTAAAATGGATCACAGATTTTTATGACATCACCGCGGACTTCAGCTTCTCATCACATCTCCAATCAAATGCTCTCTAGAATCTAAAGCATCCCACTCCCTATGCTATAAATACCACCTGGCTAAAGTGACCGTTGACACGTGACGCAGCAATATGGGCTGGAGATGTGTGTTCGGTTGCTCATACGCTCGAGTTTTATTCAGTTTTCCAACTTGTTGGTTAAGAATGAAATGGCTAGAATTTCTTCATACCTCTACTATGAATCAAATGTATCATCAGCGCTTGGATTCACTTCCATTGTGCTGTCAAGTACAACTTGTAGTCTGTGAGGTAAACTAAATGCTATTGGCTAATTTGAAAAGGGGGAGGAGCCATTCAATATGTCCCGCCTTAGCATCCATTTTCAGTACAAATTATGTCAACACATCATACAAAGCATTCCAAGGCACTTCAGTGGGCCTTTAAGTGTTTTAATCATATCTGACAACTTGAAAAACAAAATGCTTTAGTGGGGTCTATAAAAGTTACACATGTAGGCCTGGTTTCACAGACAGGGCTTAGATTAAGCCAGGATTAGACTTTAGCTCAATTAGTACATTTAAGTAGCTTTTATAAACATGTCTTAAAAAAAGAACAATACTGGTGTGCATCTTAAAACAAAACAATGGCACTGACATATTTTAAGATGCAAATGTACAAGATCTATGCATTTGATATAAACTTTTTATATCTTTTAAGGCTTAAAATATGTATTATCCTGTGGCTCCTTCTACTGGGCAACATTAATATCACAGCTGAGAATTTGCAGCCTCCAGAGCATCATAAATTCATTAAACTCATGAAATTCAGCTTGTTTGCTCAAATTTGTTCTCTGCGTCATTTAACACTAAAGAAAAGATTGAATGTTTATCAAATGTCTAATATCAGTTATAATTAAGTTTTTTTTATATATTGAGATCACAAGAAAACAACTTTTATGTTAAAGATCATGAGAAAATTAAGTTGAGATCATGAGAAAACTTTTGTTGTCGAGGTCACAAGAAAATTAGGTCGAGATCATGAGAAAACAACTTTTGTTATGTTGAGATCATGAAAAAACAAGAAATAAAAAATAATAATGCATGGTCCCTTAAGGCTTTCATTGCTAAAGTTACCAGCATCAAACATTTGCACAATCCTATGTCCTATCCTATTCAGCTATGTTCCTTAGTTGGCAAACTCAAAGTAACCAACAGCCTTGGGCTACATAGGCCCATCTCCTATTTTTATATAACAACATATTTGGTTTGAAAATGATTACTAGCTTGGAGCTTGTTGACTGCCATGTGAGCTTGTTTTTTGCAGTCTGTTCTCAAGTTCGTCACATGGTACGATTCAAGAGAAACTCTTTTATTGAGGTTTTTGGGCAGTTGAGAATTTGGAACAAAATGAAACAACAACAAGATGGCGAAAATTAAATACCTCAAATAATAATTGGGAAATACACTCTTGCAATCATTAGAAAAATCATCTCAATTTTGTAATTTTGAAGCAATTCAATTTGATTGCTATGTGGCCTGTATTTAATTATGCGCTTGTTTGCACAGACACTCTGCTGGAAGTGTACATCTACTTGGGTTGCTAACCATATAACCACTATCGCCCTGCAGGGGTAGAGTTAAATAGTTTATCAGAGAAAGTACAACAATGATCTAGATAGAAAGTGAGAAGGAAGGCAAGAGTTAGTGAGAGAGGGAAAAGAGAGAGAAATGCACATATGGAACAGTTTGGATTTTATAAAGGCATAATGAAAGTCGTATGTTTGCAATGTTGGATGCCAATTGGGTCAGCACTGCTTGTGGAGAGCTGTCCCCTCCCTCCCCCCTGTTTTGCTAGGGATAAAGAGATTTCTGGCCAAACATAGAGGATGGATAAAAAACAGTGGATAGATAAGTTACTTGAAATGACTTGGAAGTCTCTGCTCTCACTGCTTATCTAACATTGTGAGAGCACTGGAGTCTGGACCATTAGCTTAACCAGGACCTGAAAAAGATTTTGTTTCCTCCACCTGGCACAGGCAGATGGCTAGAATCCAGTGAAAAGGCCCATACCTTATTTAATATTATCGGGCATTTGGAGTCTGAACTGAGGGTATAACTCAATGGTGTAACATGAAACTGATCAGATAATATCTTAAATGGTTTCTGACAAATATTGCATGTAAAAAACTAAACCTCACCTCATTTGCTCTTTTCTTCATATTTCAACCAGCAGTCCAAACAGATTTTAGATCCAGGTCACACAAGTACAAGTTTTTCAGAACAGGGATCTGGCCTACAGTGTTTCTAATTTTTAATCAGATGTTTCATATTTCCACTGTACTTAAACTTATTTTTCCCTGAATGTTTGTTTGTAATAGATTGTGTATAGCAGTCTGTGGACTACATATGACCAAAATAATGACCTTAACACCATAATTGTGAACAACTACAATTGTTCATGTTCTTTAGTAATCCAATCAGAAAACCATCTGCTTTCAGATTGTTTGTGTATACTTGTAACTAGAGCAGAGTGGCTAATTTAATCACTAATGTGAAGTTAAAAACCCTTGTGCATAGAACAGCTGGTGTTGAGGTAGTGGAGAATAGAATGATTTAGAAAAAGAGGTCACACCTTTCCTGTTACATGCATTTGTGGGAAGAGGCCATGTTGCCTTCATGTAATAATAGGCTGCATTTTTCCCCCCAACTGCTGTATTTTCATCCGGAGTGTAGAGTCAGGTCATGCAGAAAGTTAGGGGGCATGCCGAAAGGTTTTTACAATTGGTTGTGAAAGCAGCCTGTTAGGGTGTGGGGTATTGTTAGGGTTTAGTTTCTGTTGTAGCATTGTGTACCTTTTTGCACGCCCATTATGACCTGCAGCTATCCCTGACTCTCTGTCTCACAGATTAGTTATTACACAAAATTATGACTGAAGAATACACTCCCAACCACTATATTTCTGGCAGATGCCTGACTACAGGGAAGTTCTTTGACCTGTTGAATGTTTGAGTGAGGCAGCTATCGTCAGAAGGTCTAAAAAGATTCAGGGGACTTTGTTTATGATTAGCCCCATGATGATCATTGGGAGTTAGCAGCTGGATTCTCATACATCAAGAAATGTAGAGAAGATGTGAGAACTAGGTCATATAAAAAAACAAAAAATGAGAGAGACCAGAAGAAACCCCCTGTCCTTATAAGCTGTCTTGGACTTCAACTAAATGACTAACAATTTTTATGTTTATGTATAAATATATGAGTTGTTGCTCACACTGATTTGTGACTTCAGCTTAGACAATGCAATTTAATTTGTGGTCAAAGCTATCAGAGCAAAAGCTGAGCGTTAAAGGAGTTGAATAAACAGTCTCTTTTGAATGTGGTGAAGCTTCTGTTCCCTTTAAGCGTGTTGTAGCCAGAAAGAAACTCTACTTTTAATGCTAAGGTTATGACCGCAGTCAGTGTTAGTCCTTTTTTGGGAGTTGGTATAGGGTGTTGCACCATGGGATAAGGTTGACCAGCAAACCTGCTATTATGATGTTTAGTCAGTAGGACTCACCAGATATTTTGAGAAAATTCATATAACACAATATAGGTCAGTTGGAAATTCCTTTGGACTGAGATATTGTATTTTACAACAATAAAAATAAGAGATATTTGGGGTATCTGAAATATGTCCACGTCAATCAAAAGCACATTCCTCTAGCTAACTATTTCTTAATTTTCACTCACTTTCCTTTTCATTATACTAGTGTGATTCTTCAGTTACATTTACCTGCATATCAGTGCTGCCCGGAAGTTTTTCTTCTTCTTTTTATTATCACTAATATTATAACTTTACACCAGGATTTATGCACCAATGATTGAAACCCAGCCTGATCTCATGACATGCGTCTCTATAGTATGCATTGTATTTATTGTGCAATTTATAAGCGCAAATGAGTTTACACTAATACGCACGTACCCCACACCACTAATCCTACCCAAGTGTACAATACGGACGTACCCCACACCACTAATCCTACCCAAGGGGTTTACAGTGCATATCATATGCACGTAAAAACACATTTTCACGTATAAATTGCATGATAAATACAATGCGTGCTATAGAGACGCATTTCATGAGATTGGGTTTTTGAAACCACATGCCATTGGGTGACACTGCCTAGCATCATCACCAATTTGTATATTTACTGAAGGCTAAATGTATTTAAAAATAATAATAATTTAAAATTACACTTACCCTTGTAAGGGTTAAATATGCGAAAATGTAATTTGTACTCAATTTGACTTGTAATTACAAATCAAATTAGCATTTACAATGTGTTAAAAAATTCAGATAAGGATAATGACCACAATTTGTTGTTGTTTTGCTGATCTAGGACCTGTGTGGAGCTTCAACATGTGACACACTGGGTATGGCAGATGTTGGTACCATGTGTGATCCCAAGAGAAGTTGTTCTGTGATTGAAGATGATGGGTTGCCATCTGCCTTCACTACTGCCCATGAGCTTGGTAAGTGTAAACAGATGTATAAAGCGCAACAGTAGGGTTGTGGCATTTAAAATCCCATTTATTTTCTCCATTGAGCGCTCGAGTTTCATTGTACGTTGGTTAAGAATGAAATGGCCAGAATTTATACACACCTCTACTATTGAATCCAACGTATCATCAGCGCTCGGTTTCGCTTCCATGGTGCTGTCAAGTATGAATTGCAGTCTTTAAGCTTCAAGATTGTTAAACAGGGATGTATGCTTCACACAAGTCAGTGTGATTGACTTCAATATAAAAGTATTAAATAGCAATATGGTCTATGAAAAAACACATTACCCATAATCCCTGGCTCTCCTATAACTATTTGACTCATTAGCAGTTTGCCCCTGCTGGCAAACGTTGTAACTACAACATTTGTTGGCAAAAAGCTTGTTTCCCTTTCAAGGGAACTCTGATGTCGACGCTATGGGGAACGCTTCAGCGTGACTGCATCTGAAGCATGTGTGGTTGGCGCAACTTCTATCTGTGACGTGTGACGGCGTACTGCGGAAGCTATTAAGAATACTCAGAACAATGCAGCATTAGCTTCTGTGTCTTCAGCAAGAAGTAGGTGGATCTTGTGACCATCGAGGCAGGGGATTTACAGGATGCACCACCTCTATCCCCTGCTTACGAGGAGCTGGTGGAGGTTGTTACACGTGCAGTGGCCAAGTTAAACATCGATTGGCTGGCTGAGAAACAAGAATCGGATTGTAAGAGCAAGCTGGATGAGCGCTTCCTGCCCAGTAAAACTTGACCTCCAAGTCGGGCCTGCCTTTCTGTCCAGACCTCCACACCGAAGTGTCTAGGTCCAGGGAAAAGCCCTTCTCCTCACGTATATCCAGCCTCACTATCTCTAACTACGCTTTGTTTGTGGAGATGAGGGAGTACGGCTATGGAGCGATGCCCAGGATTGAAGAGATGCTGGCATGCTATCTCTCCGCTGAGGCTGCATCGTCCCTCAAGGCCCCGACCCTGCACACCAAACCCTGTAGAACAACATTATCTCTGGTAGGCAAGGCTTACATGGCAGCAGGTCAGGCTAGTGAATGCCTTCACACAATGGCCATCCTTCAGGCATACCAGGCTGACCTGCTAAAGGACCTTGATGAAGGCGAGGGGGTTGGGTATGACACGATTAAAGGGGCCACCAAGGAGACGGCCCACGCCATCGGGTGCTCCATGTCAGCTCTAGTGACTATGGAGAGACATCTATGGTTAAATCTCTTAAAAGTTAAGATAAAAGTTCCTCCTTGATGACCCGCTGTCTTCTCCTGGCCTCTTCGGCGACGCCATCTGCTCGGTCATTGAGAGGTTCCAGGAGGCTAAGAGACAGTCTGCGGCATTACAGAGATTTATCCCTCGTTGGCCCCTGGCCCCAGGGGTTTTTGCCAGAGAGCAACCCCAGCCATCAGCCTCTAGCTGCTCACATAGGAACAGCAGAAAGAGAGTGTTGCTCCTCAAGCCTCCCCTCAAAGTGCTTGGGGGTTGAGACAGCACTCTTGCTGTAGTAAGGATTTGGGGGGAGAGGTCCTGATGCCATTACACTACACACACAGGAGCCCTCAGGTAATCGATCTGCTAACCCCGCCACCATCGACTTTTTCCACGAGCAGCGGTTTCCAGTGAACGCATGCTCACTGCAGGTGAGTCCCTTATGGGCATCGGACCTATCCCGTCAAAATGCACTGGAGGTCAGTCTCGTGAGCATGACCTTTTACGAAATGGGTCTCAATGGGTCCTGCATACAACAGAGAAGGGGTACAGAATCACAGTTTGGTTCTCACCCTCCGAGATTCAACAGGGTCTTATCTACGGTAGTGGGCCCCGAGCAGGCTCAGATACTGGAACAGGGAGTTCAGTCTCTCTTGGCGAAGGAGGCCATTGAATGTATTCCTCATCTTGAGAGGGATTCCAGGTTCTTCAGCCGGTACTTCATAGTTCCAAAGCAGGATGGGGGTTGCGTCCCATCATAGATTTGCATCAGTTACACCATACTCTGAGGAGATACAGGTTCAAAATATTGATGATTTCTCTTATCATGACTCAAATCAGATCTGAGGACTGGTTTGTCATGATAGATCAAAAAGACACGTTCTTCCATATTTCCATTCTTCTTAAACATTGGAAGTTCCTAAGATTCCCTTTTGGGGGAGAAGCTTACCAGTATCGGGTACTTTCTTTCAGCTTAGCATTATCCCCTCGCAGCTTTACAAAGTGCATGGATGCAGCTCTGGCTCCTCTCAGACTCCAGGGCATCCGTGTGTTCAATCACATCAACAACAAGGCTAATCTTAGCTCAGTCTCAAGAGATGCCGGTTCAGCATTGAGATGTCGCCCTCACCCACATAAGGCACTTGGGGTTAAGACTAAACTCCAAGAATAGTTTAAAGGTAAACTTTTATAGGACTAGTTTGGGACTCGGTCACCATGCAGGCATGGCTGTCTCCTGCTCGTATAGAGTCGATTCTCTCAGCAGTGAACGAAATCAGGATAGGCCAGGCCATCATGGTAAAACAGTTTCAAAAGCTCCCTCACAGGCTGGGGAGCTGTTCTAGACAGCCGTTGAGAGCAGTCTACATCCCTGGGAAACTAAATGAAGGAGGAGTCATCCTGTCGAGGCAGAGGCTGAGGCATGAGAATGGAGACTCCAGCCCGAGGCGGTGGAGTATATTTAGGAAAAGTTTGGACGGGTGGAATTGGACCTGTTTGCTTCTCAAGAAACTTCAGACTGTCTGCTCTGGTTCTCCCTGATGCATTTAGCTCCTCTGGGACTGGATGCCATGGTACAGACGTGGCTGAGGCTACACCTGTACGCTTTTCTCCTGATCGCTCTGCTCCCAGGAGTTCTAGAGAGAGTTCGCCAGGACGGGGTCATTCTACTCCTAGTAGTAGCTCAATTCTGTCCGGCCCAAGTGTGGACAGCTCTCCTTGGAAGATTCCAGTCAGGAGGGATCTTCTGTTGTAGACCGGGGGCAAAATCTACCACCCCCAGTCGAAGATGTAGAAGCTTTGGGTTTGGCCCCTGGGGGGGACCGACTCTTAAACTATGGTCTCTCAGCTGAGGTTTTTGAGACCATCCTAAACTCTAGAGCTCCCTAAAGTGGAGAGTCTTCGCATTATGGTGCAGAGAATGCCAGTTTGACAGTTAACTACCCAGTGGATTCAGTGCCAGAGTTCCTTTAGGATTGTTTTTTTACATGGCGGCAATAGCTGCCTTCCATACACGTTAGGCAATGGGTCTTTAGCAAGACTCCATTTAATAACCCATTTCCTTCATGGAAAGGTCTGCGGTTCACATAAGAGTTCCGGGCTGGGATTTGGCCGTTGCTCTGGAAGGGTTGTCCCAGGCACCATTCAAGCTCCTGCCTCTGGGCGCAATTAGATAGACCTAAAAACCAATCAGAGCTATCGTCACCGTGTAAAGCCCGCCTCAACGTTTGTGATTGGTGCCTCGATTTGGAAAAATTGGAAATGGGCTTGAATGGGCTCTTGGCCAGACTGACTTGCAGAGCAAATCTCAAATTTGCCGAAATCTGTGTTTTCCCCAGGCTAGTTAAAGCCATCTTACACCCTTTGGGCTATGTGCCCAAAGTACCCACGAATATTGCATATTATACGATCTTTCTAGCCTTTCATCCTCCTCCTTTTGTGTTGGCGAACCAAGAGAAGCTCAATCTGCTTTGCCCAGTTAAGGGCCTTGAGACTTATGTCCATGGACTGCCCAGTGGCATAACACTTGACCAGCTGCTGGTTTGATTCGGTTCACCCAGACAGGGTGTTCACACTCAAAACAGTTTTTCCTTAACTAGTATTCAGATTATATCTCCCAGCACAAACATAATGCTTCAATAACAAGCCTATTGCATGGTCACTTATTTTATTTCAAGGTGCTGAAATGACTTATCTGAATGCTTGCCAATGCCAACCCTACAAAACATGCTAGAACCAGTAATTTCAGTATCCAAAAACTTTTGGAGGATCTACACAACATTGTCCCAGAGATGATGTTCATTCAGTTCAGATTAGCTCAGTGGAACACTGAGAAAAGATAAGCTCTATTGAAGCGGCTTGTTTCCCTGTAGGAACCCTCATAGGCTGTTTTGTAAAAGTTTCCTCTCAAGGCCGGGGGGGAAATGTGGGGAGCTGTTGGAGGTATTGTAGAAGCGACTCAGCATAGCTTTGGTCTGATTGCTGACAGGAAAATTGTATGAAAGTTATTGGAATGATTGGTGATTTAAAAGGCAAAAATCTAAACTTACATTTGTATCATTTCCAGAGATGGTTCATTTACATCAACATGGAGTGCTGGTACACATTGCATTTTATGTCTATTTTTTCTCTCCTCTTCTGTGTTCTCATAATTTCTCACTCTTTCCTTCTCCCCTTTATTCCTTCTCTGCTGCAGGACATGTATTCAATATGCCACATGATAATGTTAAGGCATGTGAGGAGGTTTTTGGCAAGCTGCAGGACAATCACATGATGTCTCCCACTCTGATCCGAATCAACCGTACCAGTCCTTGGTCCCCATGCAGTGCTGCCATTATCACCGACTACCTGGACAGTGGACACGGTAAGTCAATGAATTCGAAACGTAGCAGGTTGAGACTGTAAATTTGAGAAAGTGCTCATGAATTTTTAAGCAAACTGAGTTATGAATCTGAATATGGTTTGCTTGTAACGTGAATTACAAATGCAACTGTGTGTGCACTTTTGCATAATGTCTAATCCTTTGGCCTTTGCAGGGTTACCGTACAAAGGTAAAGCCATGTGAAAGTGAAGAAAGTACAACACTATTGAAATATAACACTATTTTTTGACAAAGGATAACAAACTAAATGTTGAAATTTGCCTTTACAAATATATGTTTATATCAAAATGTAGTGTGTTCATTTAAAAAAAAAATTTTTTTTGTCATTCAAGCTATAGAAAAAAAAAATCACTAAAGATGTTTTATTTATTGATTGCATTAGTGTCTAATGAAGTTACATGTTTAACATGAGGGTTTGGAGCAGCTACAACCGTTCAGGGTCAGTAATGGCTCGTTTCCACCGAGCGTTACGGTACGGTACGGTACGGTACAGTACAGTACAGTACAGTACGATTCGGGACGGTAAACCCTGATCCAGCTTGCGTTTCCACCGCAAACAGTAGGATACCTTTACTTGATTGGTGTGGTGTTTGCCGGAAAGAGGCGATCAACGTCATTTTCACGCGAAGAAGAAAGCGACATAGTAAACAACAATGGATGACATACAGCAGATCTTGTTCTTGCTTCTCGGCATGTGGCTGTTTGTCACAAGAAGACAAGCGCCGACATTAGGCATTTCTCAATACCAAGTACGCAAAGTCCCACTCAAGAGAATGACTCCCGAGGACGCGAGTCCGGTAATTCTGCAAATGAAACAGCCGTTCTTGAAAGCGTCACTCAGCTCGCTCTGCTACTCTGGCTATCTCTGTATGTACATTTTAGGCAACAATAAAACAAAATATGTTATAAAACACCACTCTGCCTCTTTTCGTTTTCATTTAAAGAAATTTTAAACATTACAGGCACACAGTTGTGGTTCAGGCAACGCGTATTGATTATATTCACTCCATGCATAACGTTAGCCTATTTATAACAAAACGAAATATAAAACACAACCCTGCCTCTTTTCGTTAAAATATTTAAAATATTAAACATATCCCAGGCAATATGTGCATTTGTACTAAACAAAAAAATGTTGCAATAAACAACATTACAGTGATCATCTTGTAATAAAATTAAAAATGACAAAACTCAACCCTATCTCTTTTTGTTTAGTTTTATCAATAATAGCCATTCTAAAAGTATAAGTAAAAGGTACAAGAAGCTATACAATAAGAAATAAAGCAAACAATTCAGTCAAATATACAAATGCAGTGCTCTTAAAGTTACAACGGTAAAGTTAAATATATAAAACTTCACTTAGCCCTCAGCCAAAACGATTGGCAAGGGAACAAATTATATATTCACGAGACCAAAGATCGCCGTTAGGTCTACACAAGACGAATTATATCTCATGTTTAACCACTACAGAGACGTCAGAGTCAGCGGCAAACGTCAGAACGACTAGCCGAGGAAAGGCTGTTCCAGGCGGGGTACATGAGCGCAGAGCTCATAATTTTCATAAATCTTTATAAATAAACCACAGATTTGAGCTTTAAACAACTACATTCTCGCCTGAAAAACTCTTAAAACTACATTTCGTGACACAATAACAGTAGTATTATATTTCAGCTCTATATTAAAAAATGTCGCTTCTTACGTTGTCATTCCCCTTGTAGCACGCGGTCAACCAATCTGTCAACCAATCAACGTTCTGCAGTGAGTCTTGCTCCACCCTTTAGGTACCGTACCACTGTGCTAGGTACCCCAACGGTATGGTTCGGCATTTTGGTACCATTCACAACTTTTGACAGTGGAAACAGAAATAATTGCGTACCGTATACTGTACCGTACCGTACCGCTCGGTGGAAACGAGCCATACGATTTTTTTAAAGAAACTAATAATTTAATTCAGCAAGGAAGCGTTAAATTGATCAAAAGTGACAGTAAAGACATTAACTAGAGGTTAAGTTTGTAAACAAATTTTGATGTTGGCTTGAGAAAGCCCGAATGGGCAGCCTGACTCAAAGCACATGTCTGTTCAGTGTTCTGGAGCTGGCACCACCACAAATTTTTTTATTGTTTTCATGTATTTGTATTTTTTTTTTTTTTTTGTATTCTAATAAATAAGCTTATTATTACATACATACAAGTTAAAGTTCACTATAAGCAAAGCACAAGCAATAGCACAAATAAACCAGGTTTCAAGTTTGTAGGTGTTCAGGTACACCAATTGAATAATCAAATGTCAAATAACATTGCAGTCTTTACTAAATACTACAAAAGTTTTTCAGTCAATGCCAGTGAGTGATTTTTGTCTGTTTTTTTTTTTTTTTTTGGATTAACATTAAAGACAGCTGGTAAATGCGGGCGCTTTAAGACATAATGCACAAATTCAACACAGCCGGTTTCTTTCTCAACTGTATTCACCTTATTCCGCCCCGCCCACTTTTAATACTTCACTCTTCTGCACTTTGTCATCTGACTTCCGCTAAACTGACACGGAACATCTGGTAGCTAGTTCAGTAGTTAAAAGATTGTTTATAGCTAGCCAAAACTTTAGCGAAATGAAAAATAACGTTAATACCGTAAATGTTTTAAATTGGGAGCACAGAGAAAACTTTGTACGACGATCAGATGGTCTCATATTGTCCCATCCATCGTCATTGTTAACGTGGGTAGACGATATGAAGAAGAGGCCAGAGGTAACCTATGGGGACATATTTAACTACTTCGTCCTGTCAGGAGGAGTTGATGGAGCAGCAATGAAAAAATTATAATTATGTTGCTTTCCACAAGATACTTGCAGCTTTGTAAATAAGCAGGAATGAGAATAATTAGGGTTAAGGATAGGATATTAGGTAATTAGGTGGGATGTATTTTATATCGGTTGTGTTAAACAAGAGATACATTTGTGATTTTGTGTTTTAGAAAAATATAAATGATTAAATAAGTTGTATAAAATCAGTTGTAAGAAGTGTTTGATGCTTTCATGAAGCTAGAGACACCTTCTTGACATGACTTATTCCTTCTAACCAGAAGACTTAATTCCTTTAAGTTTTAAGGGGAATCTACAGAGCTCACATTATATGGTTTTATAATAAATTACTGACAGGTAACATCTCGTCACATTGTAAAGATAAAAATAACTATTCACGACAGGTAACATCTGGTCACATTGTAAAGGTTTATTAAAATGACCATTCACAACAGGTAACATCTGGTCACATTGTAAAGGTCTATAAAAATAACTACTTACACTATTTATACTGATTAGTTAAAGCAAAACCAAAGCAAAAAGTATCGACAGACGTGAAACGCACCTACAAATCAACATTTATTCATCCTCTATATCAGAAATTATTTCGGTTCGAAGGTTGCACAGGGCTGCACAAATTCTCAGAATTCTATCAATTTTAGGGGTGAGGTTAATTGGAACTGTTTGAGACAGGACTTTGAAGTTTTTAAGTCGGCATATGACCTGCTCAACATGGACATGTACATTGGCGATGCGCCTAGTGTTAGTGGTGTCTTCTTCAGAGAGTTGAATGCCTCTCTTGGTGAATGCTGGAAGGACAAGTTTCACCTTCCTTTCATAGAGGAGATCGGTAATGGTGAAGCCTCTGTCTGCCATTACTTCATCGCCTGGACGAAGGTATTCCAGGAACCCTGAATTTGCAGTTATGAATTTATCACTGCACCTTCCTCCATATGCTGGTGAGATGAACATGATCAGTCCACATAGTGCAATGGAGACCAGGTATTTGATGGTGTTCTGGCTGTAGTAATGGCTGTAGGACTCACCTCTTGAGTCAAGGTTGCATGGCTTTTGAAGGGGTGTCTCTGAACAGTTGATCACACATGTTGTCTTTGGAAATTGTTCTTTGAAACACTAAGGCATTGTTGCCTGGATTGTCTCCCTGGGAAGCCAGGTATGTAACACCTAATCTTCTCCTCCATGATGTTAAGCCAACACGAAATCACCTTGCTTACAATGGACTGAGAAACACCAAACCTTTCAGCAAGATCACCCTTCAATAAATTAAGACGCAGCTTCATCAGAATCATCAGGAGCTGATCCCAAATGTGTAGCTGAAAGCTGTTGGTGTATGAATTGGTAAGGTGCTCGGCAACTGAATGGAATGCATCAAATGTCAACCCTGCGTAGAGCTGACAAAGGTGGTCGTTTCTCAGCAGAGTTATGTACAATGGCACCAGCTCAACGCTTTGTGTTCCCATTTCAGATGTAGGTGGCTTCAGGTTGAGTTGAGATTTTGAAAAGTGGAGTTGTGGTCAGAGACAGTGGATCCTCTCATTGTGTTTCTGCATCACAGGTGGTCTGGGGCATGTGGATGTGATCATCCTCACAGTTGTCCACTGCATCACTGACGCTCATCGATGCATCTATGGAAATAATACAACCATAAACATTTTTACATTAATTCTTATGATCTATTTTAAGTACTAATTTATAATGGCACCCATACTTACACAGAACAGTGTGTGAGAGAGAGATGCATTAAAAACGAGACAGTATACACACAATCTCATAACTCTACGTAGGTCAATATCAATATCAATATCTGAATAAGAGCTGTAGCTAGCTGGCCCACTAGCATCGTCAATCTCTGTAACTTACAGGAATAATGTGAGCTATTGTAAGACTGTAATGTTCCATAATATCTTGTACTATCGTTAATATTCATTCATTCATTATTTCAGACCCTTAGGTCCAAATCACAAAGTAAAAGAAATATAAGAAATATGACATATTTAGGTCGGCAATGGTAATCATGCAAGATTTGTTGTATTTTGTTAACGACTCGTTACTGATCTTAAATGTATTTATAGAACGGACTTCACGAATCTAACGTTAGGCTAACAAGCACATAGCTAACAGTTAGGTAAGTTAGCTTACCTGAATCTGACAACCTGTTCAGCACCCGGCATGACTTCTTTACCGGAACATTGTAGCCGAGCCATTTCTCGGGGTAAGGGTGTTCGTCAGTCGGCTTCCCGTCCATGAAATGGCAGGAACACACATAGGGTGCTTGGGTGGGCACTTCAAGTTTAACGCCTTCCGCCATTGCCTCAGGTGCTCCTCGTCTTCAGGTGGTGGCTATAAATCGTAAAGTGCACCACAACACTCCGACCACTTCACATTGTGTTCGTAACACCGTTGGTTCAATTGTTCTCTCCTCTTAATCCAATTGTTATGGCAGCCCCTAACTGAGCATATAATACTTGACACATTTTACCGTTACAGCTATATAATTACGTCTAGCAACTAGCGTAGGTCCCTTTCATAGACTGTAAAAAAAATAGGTCCCTTTCAGCCATAAGTTGAAGTCCCTCTCAGCCGGAAGTGAGATGACAAAACGAACACAATGGCGTCACCCTTGTTGTCGTGGAAAATAAGGTGAATATAGCAACGAACTTCAGACCAGGCCCAAGGTCTGTGGTGAGTTTGGTGCTTAGAGAATTAAAGCTCTGGAAAATTTTGTCTCAGAAGAATAATGTTAAATTTAAATAGCATTTAAGTATGCTGGCTTTCTCAAGCCAACATAATAATGTTACAAAAAATATGTTTCAAATAAATGCTCTTCTTTTGAACTTTCTATTTACCAAAGAATCCTGAAAAATCACGTTTCCCCCAAAAAATATTAAGCAGCACAACCGTATAATATAACATCTGTAATATTAAGAAATGTTTCTTGAGCACCAGCTCAGTATATTAGAATGATTTCTGAAGGATCATGTGACACTGAAGAACAGGAGTAATGGGTGCTATTTATTTTTTAATTAAAAAAATTGTAATAATATTTCAAAATATTACTGTTTTACTGTATTTTTTATATAAATGCAGCCTTGGTGAGCACAAAAGATTTTTTTTATAAACATTTAAAAAATCTAACCGTACCCCTTTGAATGATAGTGTATGAGTCAGCTTAGGGCTAAATAGAGTGATTTAGAGAGTCTGGGTTTAACACCTCAGTGTCAGTCTTCAAAGAAATAGATGTCTCAAGGTCAGCTTAAGTTACAGCTTGCAAAAATTCTGTGATTTAAATTTTTGTTTAAACAGTGTGGCAACTGATGTAACTGTTTGACTGGAATGTTTCTGTGAAGGTTTACAGTGGGGTCCCAGTGGGATTCAGAACCCCTTTCATGGTTGGTATTTGCCCTCTGTAGACTAAGACGTACACTACATCTCTGATAAACATAAAAATCCAAAACAAATATGTCATGCCCACATTTAAATCATCTATTTAAACATAAACATTTCAACATCTATTTAGTTCCTTGCTGTTAAAAACAATACTTTTTGTATTTTAACCCTCATCCTCTTCTTGCATTCTGTAACAAATCCTTCCCTCATGGGTCAAAATGACCCGAAGCCCTAAAATTATACCTTTTTCACCCCAGTTTTTTTGTTTTGTAAAATAATTGTATATTTGAATAAAATAATAAGAAAAATAGGTCAAATTAGAGCAAGCATAAATATCTAAAGTGCTGTAAATACAATTTCATACAACTGTATATATGCAACTTTCTGTTATTCTTTGATATCGTTGCAGGTGATTGTCTGCTGGATCAACCTCAGAAACCATTAGCTCTTCCAGACGTGCTTCCTGGTGCATCGTATGGTTTAGAGCGGCAGTGTGAGCTTGCCTTCGGTGCCGGCTCAAAGCCGTGCCCATTCATGCAGGCACCATGTCAGCGCTTATGGTGCACAGGGAAGACCCGTGGGCAACTGGTGTGCCAAACAAGACACTTTCCGTGGGCAGATGGAACCAGCTGCGGGGACGGACAGCTCTGCATGCGGGGCACATGCATGGAGAAACAGGAGATAACTAAAACTAAGGTACCTTCACACACTGCCGGGCCAAAAAAAAAGAGTTGCTGTTTGGGTTTAAATTGGCAAACACACACATTTTAAAGGAACTCTCACTGTGAAAGATGTCATGTGGCACAACAGAGCTTTGACATATTGAGGTCAGCCTGTTAATCGTACTCCACTTGACCTCTTACTTGGTTTATTTGCCCTGTTGCTTAAAGAATTTGCACACGACCTGTGAACGTGTAGTGTTCTTTATGGCCGAGTCATCTGGGGTTTAGAAGTAAAATTTTCTGTTGTCAAGAGATGTTTAATGTTTATTAAAGGTCAAGTGAGCTCTGACATCCCCCTCTTCCTGTTCCTCTCTGTTAGGTGGATGGCAGATGGGGTAAATGGGGGCCATTTGGTACCTGCTCCAGAACTTGTGGAGGTGGTGTGCAGCTGTCTAAGAGAGAGTGTGACAACCCTGTGCCAGAGAACGGAGGCAAATACTGTCAGGGAGTGAGGGTCAAATACCGGTCCTGCAACCTTTCCCCATGCACTGACACAGGTTTAAAAACCATTTCAAAATGTTTTTTATCCCAAAAAAATCAGCATCAATGGATACATTTAGTAAACAAAAATTTTAATTTAATTTTTGTTTTTTGTATGAATTGTATATGGAATCAAATATTTCAAGAATGTGCTCTTCTTTCATCTGCCCCCCTTTTTTAGGCAAGAGCTATCGTGAGGAGCAGTGTGAAGCTTACAATGGGTTTAGTCTGAACACTAACCGGCTCACCCCTTCAGTGGTGTGGGTGCCCAAATATTCTGGTGTGTCGGCCAAAGATATGTGCAAGCTGATCTGCAGGGCAAATGGAACAGGATACTTCTATGTTCTTGCACCAAAGGTGAGCAATAAGTGTTAAGAACCATCTACCACATTTAGAAATGACTTGTAAAAAATATATAACAAAGTTGGGTTTGAAAGCATCAAAAATACACTCACCTAAAGGATTATTAGGAACACCTGTTCAATTTCTCATTAATGCAATCATCTAATCAACCAATCACATGGCAGTTGCTTCAATGCATTTAGGGGTGTGGTCCTGGTCAAGACAATCTCCTGACCTCCAAACTGAATGTCAGAATGAGAAATTCTGGGATTTTCACGCACAACCATTTCTAGGGTTTACAAAGAATGGTGTGAAAAGGGAAAAACATCCAGTATGCGGCAGTCCTGTGGGCGAAAATGCCTTGTTGATGCTAGAAGTCAGAGGAGAATGGGCCGACTGATTCAAGCTGATAGAAGAGCAACTTTGACTGAAATAACCACTCGTTACAACCGAGGTATGCAGCAAAGCATTTGTGAAGCCACAACACGCACAACCTTGAGGCGGATGGGCTACAACAGCAGAAGACCCCACCGGGTACCACTCATCTCCACTACAAATAGGAAAAAGAGGCTACAATGGTAGAGTCCGAATTTGGCGTAAACAGAATGAGAACATGGATCCATCATGCCTTGTTACCACTGTGCAGGCTGGTGGTGGTGGTGTAATGGTGTGGGGGATGTTTTCTTGGCACACTTTAGGCCCCTTAGTGCCAATTGGGCATCGTTTAAATGCCACGGCCTACCTGAGCATTGTTTCTGACCATGTCCATCCCTTTATGGCCACCATGTACCCATCCTCTGATGGCTACTTCCAGCAGGATAATGCACCATGTCACAAAGCTCGAATCATTTCAAATTGGTTTCTTGAACATGACAATGAGTTCACTGTACTAAAATGGCCCCCACAGTCACCAGATCTCAACCCAATAGAGCATCTTTGGGATGTGGTGGAACGGGAGCTTCGTGCCCTGGATGTGCATCCCACAAATCTCCATCAACTGCAAGATGCTATCCTATCAATATGGGCCAACATTTCTAAAGAATGCTTTCAGCACCTTGTTGAATCAATGCCACGTAGAATTAAGGCAGTTCTGAAGGCGAAAGGGGGTCAAACACAGTATTAGTATGGTGTTCCTAATAATCCTTTAGGTGAGTGTATATAAATAGAAAAATATTAGGTTAATATTTAATTTTAATACGAATATCAAGCATTCAGGGGAAATATATGAGTTAACATAATAATAACATTAATAATAACATTAATAATATAATATTTTAGTAATATATACTGTATATATATATATATATATATATATATATATATATATATATATAAATAAAATATAGCCTTAGGTAATATAATATATAACTTAGTTTGTGTCTCATGAATAAGAGCTTCTCTCACTGGAGATAATGGAGCTTGAGTGCTTTATGGGGGATGCGGAAAAAACATTAATTTATGGTCTCCTGTAAGCGAGTACAGACGATTATAATATAAAGTGAACCTAAGACACATTAACACCATAAAATACATTTGCAATAGTTTGATACATGAAAGGCTACACATGCAATATCAGAACAGTTATGAGTTAGTGGACATTCATCTAAGAATTTATTGAAAGGTAAAGAATCATTAAATTAAAAACATATATTACTATACGCATGAGAAGAAAGTACGTGGTGAGCTTACCTGCTGTTTCATGGCTGCTTTACACGTATGTCAGATGTCACTACAGACAGAGCCGAGTGGTCAGGAAGAGGAAAAGGGCCTATCTTTTGTGAGATAGTGTTGTGTGGAGTGAAACTGTACAGACGCAACAGTTACATCATGACTAGTGTATGGCTAGAGGTATGTTTATGAGACTGACATGCTGTTTTAACCAGGCTTTGACACTGTAGAAACTATTCAGAGCTTGAACTCTTAAGGAGACTGAAAAAACTAATCTACTCAAGTCATATTTTGCCAAAGGCAAAACATTTTTTTTTAAATAAAATTAAATACCAAAGACTAGACAGTACATTAATTCAGTAAGCCTCATTGCTAATTTGAAGGTGTGACTCATCCAAAACAAATGGTCAAAAGAGTAGAGCCATAAATAGCTTAATAGTACCCTAGTGAAAAATAAATATACTAAAATGTATTTGAAATAGATTTATTTTAAGTATACTACAAACACATTTACTTATTTATGAACTTAATATAAATACCCAGCAATTAATAATTAACTAATTTTGTACTTAAGGCACTTTAGTTATCCAGAAATAGTGCTGAGGTCCAACTAAAGATATACTTAAGTATATTTGATTGTGCTAAAGTGGAACTATTGCAAGGATTCTTTAGGTACTTTAAATATTTAGCATTTAAAGAATGATATTATACAGAGACCATACTTATCCTTACTATAGTGATATTAAAAAACATTTTAGGCTTAATATTAAGAAATGTGCATTGTGCAATAAAGAAGTAGGCCAACTCCAAATAAAGTTTAATTATAATATTTATATCAGTATGTCTCAAGCGATATGTCAGTAAATATGTTAATGGATTTGTAGTATACTTACATTTATTTCATGCTATTTTAAATCCATTTTGGTATAGGTTTTTTTCACTAGGTACTAGACATACTGGACTAATTTCTTTCACTTTCGGCTGGACGCCCGCACATCACGTCATACTTAGAAAGCAGCCTTTTGTTGGAGCCGATAGCCTCGTTGGCAGCATGTAGCATGTAACATGTAGTGTGATTGCGCTTCGGGCGACGCAAGTTCGAGTCCCGATCCTGTCCCTTTCTCTCCCACTTCACAATAAAGGCAAAAACGCCAAAAAAAAGAAAAAAAAGAAAGAAAACTAAATCAGCCTGTTTTGCAAAGCTTCTCTGAAACTGAGCACTTGGAAACATTGAGGACATTCAATGAAACATTAATGTAATCCTCTAATGCATACATCTTCTGTATATCTTTGTTTTAATATCTATAATTTCACTCAATTACAAATAAAAAAAGTGTAATTTATCTAAATCATCAATACATGAATTATTGTTTTTTAAAGAAAAAATATGTTGTATAAGAATTGCCCTTGTAAGTCACCATAAAATGCTGCAATTACATTTACATTTTAAATCATTTTTCTCTGCTTTTTATAGGTTGTTGATGGTACACCATGTTCTCCTGACTCGTCATCAGTCTGTGTCCAAGGCAAATGCATCAAGGCAGGCTGTGATGGAAAACTGGGATCTAACAAAAAGTTTGACAAGTGTGGTGTCTGTGGAGGAGATAACAAGAACTGCAAGAAGGTCTCAGGCCTTTTCACCAAGCCCATGTAAGTGAAGTTAAATAAGAAGATAAATAATCTTAAAGGGTCATGAAATTAAGCGCAGCATCAGTTCTGGCAGGTCACGTAGTCAAGCTTGCATCAGCTGACTCTCAGCTGATCCACATCTACCTATAGGATTACGTATCACTGTATACATATATAAGCTCCTTCAGTATTATCAGCAACTATCGCGTTTCTCAGGAGCTAATTGCCCTCCTCCATCCCTAGCTCCTCCTCTCGTGCAGTCAGTATTTGGCCTTCTGAATGCCCTTTGAATCAGAATAAATTCGCGAATTATGTTGAACTTTAAAATCTTGAATTAATGATATCTGCAATACATTCATGTTGGTTCTGTTCTGTTTAGCCTAAGGGGGGTTATTGCTGCTCTCCCTGCTCTTATCCATGCTAGGCTGCATGGATGCGCAGGGAGTTCTTGCCCAGAACAGAACCATACCGCTAATCCTAACTTTATGCTAATTGTCAATCGTATTTGACGATAGTGGTCCTGACAGAACGGCATTTTTTTGTTCTCTAAGGTCCACTTATAATGATATCAAATTTTTACATGAAAAACATCCTAATTTAGAAGTAATAATAAGGTATTTTCAATCCTGTTTTGACCCTCTCTTTCAAACACTCAGTTTTAATGGGCGTGCCACATTCAAGACTTTGAAGTAAACACCCAATGCTATATGATTGGGTCACAGTTTTGCATATTAAAATAATTTTCAAAGTTCTCGCCATTACACGTGTGGAATTTCCGATGTTGAAAAATATCTCGTAACATAGTTGAAACATTTGCCAACAATGTGAACATTTATTAAAGTTTATAATGAGGCAAATAACGTGTTATAATAATAATAATAATAATAATGTGATCCAAAACTAGTCGTTTTCTGAGCTTGGTTTTAATAAAAGCTGTTTTTGGACTAACAAGGAAGTTTTGAGCTCTGAAACTTACAGGTTATTTCTCTAGTACAATGACCTCTTATATGTCAAAAGATCAAGGACAATTTTATTTCCCAATTCATGACCCCTTTAAATGAATCCATGCATTGTTTATTACCTTCGTGCTTTTGGTAGGCCTCGGTATCAATACAGATTTCCCGATCTGATTCTAAATTAGATTAGATTTCACTAGATTCGGTTATAGGGTATATTTCGATTATAATCTCCTTTTATACCTACATATCTAAATTATACAGGACAGTTTCTTGCCATTCTTTTTTTTTTTTTTTTTTTATGTGGTCACATTCAATACAGACTGCAAACTCACAATCTCATTATTTTTGATGCATGCAGACTGGTCAACTGATATACTAGGAAAGAAAAGATTATGCAAAAAACATTCTGATACTTTCTCTTTTCTCAGGCATGGTTACAATTTTGTGGTCATGCTTCCCATGGGAGCCTCCAACGTCGACATCAGGCAGCGTGGCTACAAGGGCATCATGAGTGATGACAACTATCTTGCTGTCAAGAACAACCAGGGCAAGTACCTGCTGAATGGAAACTATGTGGTTTCAGCCATGGAGAAGGATATTCTGGTGAAAGGGAGTCTGCTCCGCTACAGTGGAACGGTTGGATCCTCAGAGACTCTACAGGCTGTGAAACCTCTGGGTGAAGCCCTGATAATTGAAGTGCTGTCTGTGGGCCAGATGACACCTCCACGCATACGCTATTCTTTCTTCTTGCCACGGGAGAGCAAAGATAACAAGGTGCAAAAGAAAGAAGAAAAGGCACGTGCTGAAAACAATGTTCTTAGGGAAGATGGAGGCATCAGTAAAGGTGAAAAGGAGGCAGATCTTCTCAAGGACAAAATCTCACCTATGTACATCAAAGATATCGCACCAAAACCAGGGAAGTGGGTGGCGGCAGGGTGGGATGTTTGCTCAGTTACTTGCGGTAATGGACTCCAGAGGAGGATGGTGCAATGTCTTGGGGTAGATGGTGGGCCTGGGGTGGACTGTGACCCTAACCAAAAGCCAAGTGCTATTTGGGCATGTGGAGACCCTTGCCCTATGTGGGAGGTGGGCGACTGGTCCCCCTGCTCCAAGACTTGTGGGAAGGGTTTCAAACGGCGCCTGCTTCACTGCGTTACAAAAGTGGGAACATTGCTTTCCAGGGAGAAGTGTGCAGACAAGAAGAAGCCACAGGAGCTGGACTTCTGTTCATTAGCCCCTTGTAAATAATCAGTATCTCCCTTTATTATTGCTCTACATGGACCTTCTATTTTTGTCGAATTGCATATTCAAAAGAGAAAAGAACAAAGAAAAAAGACTATGTTCTGGATCATAGTTTATATTTTCTCATCTGCCTGACAAAGGGACAAAAAATGACAACAAAAAAATGACAAAAGACAGACATCTGAGGTCATGAGATAAACAGGTTTGAACACAAATGCAAATAGTACTCTACCTCCAATTGTAACAATTATTAAATAATTCATCACCTGTAAATCATCCAGATGAGATCAAATTCATAATCATGAATAGCATTATAGCCCGATGTCATTACAATTCATAGGTATTCGTACATAATGTCTTCATATATATTTTTGTTTGTTTGAATAAATGCCATAGACGTATTGACAGCATCTAAAACAAAAGTATGTAACTGTGAATTTAAAACAACAATATTTATGAATTCTTTATTATTTGTTATATTATAAATATATTTGTATAGTTACCTAATCCCACCTCTATCCTGAAGCTAACCACTTCTCAACAATATATATAAAAATTTTATAAAAATAGGCAGATAAATGTAAATTATTTAAAATTAAGTAAAAGCAATAAAATGCGATGACACTGAACATATTATTGTCATTGATTAAATGCAGTACAATTAACATATTACATCAGTTCAATATTCCATAAACCTAAACTATTTTTTAAACATTTGTATGCCTATACATCATTCACATGTAAAATGCTTACATTTGAGATGCTGTTAACATGTCAGTAATGTAAGTGTCTATGCAGACATGAAAATAATGTGATAGAACCACACTTTAAACGAATACCTGTGATTACTAATGAGATGACATTGGGCATTGCAATGTGAGGCCAATACAACAGTGTCGTTTTAAAGCCTAATCTGCACAAATACATTGCTTTTAACTGAACGGATGAATTTTTTTCTACAGTCATCAGTGTAAACATCTCTATTTGTGTGAGCTAATTGATGTTTGAAATGGCCATTAATGAATGCCTACAGTGGAGAGAAGCCAACAAGCACTGATATAGTCCATCTGGGTTAACCGAAACATTCCACAGGGCATATAATAAACTTGCTCAGAAATGCCCTTGCACTGCATGGAACTGGCTGCAATCTACCATTTGATCTACCCTTTTTTTTTCCTGGGGAGCAATTAATTATTAACCAAAAATTAAGATCAACATCCAAGAATGAGACTCGAGTATTTGTAGAGGAGGTTAATATAAAAATATTATTAAATAATATTAATATATAAAATAATATTTCACATTGCTTAAGGACTGAGAGGAAGCACAGGCTACATTTCTATCAGCACGTCCTTCGTATCAACAAACAGGCATAAATATTAGCATTTTTTCACAAATAGAGCGACGAAGCCGGTTATCCCAATGCTTTACGTCATGCAAATAAATGAAGTCATCTGTGTTGTAATATAACTGGAAAACTTCTAACTACTTTCCACAAGGCTTTTCGTGCAATCCAATGATCCACCTTTACTGCTGCAAGATGACGTGCAGTAACTCAGAGGGTCCATTTTGACAAAGTACAGATCATGGAAATGTTTAAGTCTTCACCAATGTATTAGCCCCCTAAAACAAAAACAGCAATGAGAAAGCCTTATATACACAAGGCCTGTGTTTTATCAGTACACGTGTGTTAGCATGTAGCCGTCTGACTCTTTTTGTATGTACATTCATCTCCTTAAAGTCACTGTTATTTAGCTCAGCAGGCCAATTTTTTTTTTCTGCCCAGCATATTTCCTGCTGTCAGCCATGTTCTGTATTGCCAAACTCATTCTCTCCCCGTCCAGCTTTCAACCAGAACTCTTTTTTGTTTGTTCGTTGTAATGCTGTTTATCTCCTCTCCTGTTCTCTACCTACCACTGAGCCAGAGATGCAGCTGCTATAATCATGCCCTGTCTGGTACAGTTGCCATTTTAACTAAGTTATTATTACTATTAAAATGAATTTTAAGAACTGGTGGCTGGTGGCACAAGGTTGTACAGTGTCGTACACTGTGCTTCAGTGGCAAGTTGTTCTTTGTACACAGTAAGTGAAAATCCCTGTAATACACAAAAACACATTACGTTTGTGATCAAGGTTCTTCAGAGTGACCATATCGTCCATCTAAAAGATGGTTTCTGTATTACTTTAATGCATATTTTTCTTTTGCGCATTCTTACAGCAAAAGATTTCAATGTCCCGCATGGGCTTGTATACCATGTATACATCCATTTGGCTGTGCACAAACAAGTCATGTAAATACCTATTATGTCTTGTTATACATATTTTTTTTCTCGTCATGCTTCAAGGTATTTATTCCAAATAAAACATTTAGAAATATTTTGTGGTGCAGTCTCTTTCATTTTTCCTTATTTTCTCAATTAACGGTAGCCTGGTAATACCAAACTCTGCTACTTCGCTTTGCTTCCTAGACAGAGTCTGGAATGGCATAATTGAAAAGTGGGGGGGGCGCTTGTCTGAAGTATAAAATCATTGGTTACCCGTAAGCCAATCACATAACGCAATCAACTCTCTCTCCAACTTAAACATCACCTCCATTCAAAATGTTTAACAAACACTCTTCTTGTTCGGGCTTCAGTTTGCATATGCCGGGAATATTCTCAGCGCAGTCTCATCCCAAGACGTCATATAACTGACGTCTTGGGACGTCTTTTGACCATACGTCAATATCCGCCTTTTTAGGGTACCCTTAAACGTCGGTTAGATGACGTTATCGGATCCTAACTCTACCCCAGACCTAAACCTACCCCTAAACCTACCCCGTCACCTAACTGACGTTAAAGGTAAAGCGTCAGTTGTATGACGTCCCAGGATCGTCATAAACCGATGTTTAAGGGTACCCTAAAAAGGCGGATATTGACGTATGGTCAAAAGACGTTCCAAGACGTCAGTTATATGACTTCTTGGGATGAGACTGTGTTGATATTCTCCACAACAGAGCGAATTGCATCCCGTATCTCCATATCCGCGGTCGTTTTCGATTTCCCTAACCTAAAATACAATCTTAAACTCGGCGCTTAGCATCTACGTCACGGCTCTCAGCCCGCCCTTAGTCCAGTCATTTTATGAAGAAAGGTTGAACAAATTGCAACAGAAGCAAACTCAACTGATTTTGTATCCTCAATATGTCCTGAGTAAGGAAAAAAAAGCCCCGAAGAATCCCATTAGGGGAACGTTTCGAAAAAGACCCAAATATATCCCATTCATACGCCTGTTCATTCTTTTTCTCACGTGAAAAGGGTAAAAATTTTAACCTTTAGATATCATCATGAAAATCACTGAGTTGATTACTTGCATCAAGACAAACAAAAAATGTATTACAAGTTTTTTGAAATTGTTTGTTAACATGGACAAACGGTGCATAATATAATTACGTATTAGCTAATTTGCATAATTACTCAAACAGATCTAAACATTGGGTATAGCAGGTGAAAATGTTTTTTTGAATCTTGTTGACATATAACAGTAAAATACTCAATGTTAAGGTCTGAATGGAACCCATTTAGGCTACCCATGAACATTAATACAGGAAGAAGTACTTTAGAAACCAGCCTTTATTAATTATTATTGCAGAGATGGGGTTTGGGCATTGAGTGCATTGTGCACGTAATTAGATTTTTTGATCCAGAGACTTTTTATTTCACCTACCTTTTGTCTTCTGCATTCTCCTTACCCATGTCTCATCCCCCAGAAACAGTCCCACTGACCCAGCCCCACTGACCCAGCCCCAAACCCCATCTCTGCCATAATAATTAATAAAGGCTGGTTTCTAAAGTACTTCTTCCTGCATTAATGTTCATGGGTAGCCTAAATGGGTTCCATTCAGACCTTAATATTAAATAGTTTACTGCTATATGTCAACAAAATTCTACAAGACATTTTCACCTGCTATATACCCAATATTTAGATCTGTTTGGGTATTTATGCAAATTAGCATATGTCATTAGATTAGATTAGATTATGCACCTTTTGTCCATGTTAACAAACAATTGCAAAAAACTTGTAATACTTTTTTTGTTTGTCTTGATGCAAGTAATCAACTCAGTGATTTTCATGATATCTAAAGGTTAAAATTTTTACCCTTTTCACGTGAGAAAAAGAATGAATAGGCGTATGAATGGGATATATTTGGGTCTTTTTCTAAACTTTCCCCTAATGGGATTCTTCGGGGCTTTTTTTTCCTTACTCAGGACATATTGAGGATACAAAATCAGTTGAGTTTGCTTCTGTTGCAATTTGTTCAAGGTTGACCCCCATTTTGGCTTAAAATGACTGGACTACCTCTGTTCGTTAATTGGCCGGCTGTTTTCAGGCCGGAGGAAAACTGAGAGATAGGTCGCTATCTCAGACTGAGTACAGAAGGGAACTGAAATTGAGCGGAAGTACGAAGTCTGACGTAGTCAGGCTAAATTAACGGCACAGTATGTAATTTTTGGCGCTAGAGGTCGCATATTCAAAGCAATAACAAAGGTGTAGCTTGATGACACTGTGAAGGAGCGTCGAATGATGGGAGTTGTCGTCTTTACCTCCACTGCCGATGGAAATCAATTCTACGGGACTCACAAATTATGGTCATGGATGAGGTACTGAAAAAGTTTTATAACCGTTACATTTGATCACATGATTATATTTCATTTGAATGAATTAGCTGCAAGTGACGTAATGTTTAATGCTAAATTACTACTCATACATGTCACTTTATTTGTCAAATTAAATAGTGGGGTAACACAGTGCAGTTTTATATGTTCAAAACAGTCATACTAAAAGTATATTTGAAAGTACCCACCATTTGCAAAAAGGCTGACTTACTATTCAGACTGATCTCATGAAATGGCGTATGTATGACACGCCAATTCGTATTTCCATTTTTGGCGTGCTATCAACACGCATAATCGCTTTTCAGCGTGTTTATCAACGCCGTTGACTTAACGTACATTACTGTATATATAAATATATGACCTACCCCAACCCCGTCCCTAAACCTACCCGTCACTGGAGTTAATACCATTTATGAGTCTTCCCCTACCATCCTAGGAAAAAAAATATCGCTCCCCAGATGTAGATCTACATTTTGCTTCGTTTCGCTCGGACATTTAACGGCGTGTACATTCACGCGGAATCACTCAGACATTTAACGGCGTAGACATACACGCAAGAGATGATGGTTCACGCGGATAGCTCAAAATGCGTATAGATAACACGCCACTTGACTTGAAAGTGGCGTGTATGTTTACGCAAAAGTCATGATGTCATGTATTAATGTTAGTGCTGTCAAACGATAAAAATATTTAATCGCGATTAATCGCATTAATGTCATAGTTAACTCGCGATTAATCGCATTTAATCGCACATTTTTATCTATTCTAAATGTCTCTTGATTTCTTTTTGTCCCATTATTTTTTTCTCAGTTTAATGCTCTTATCAACATGGAAAAGTGGATCGGCTTGCTTTGTGCAAATGTTTTTTATTGAAAACAATATTGGCATATACTGTTCAATTTCACACTAAAACATTATCACTTGGAGCAAATAATCTCTCACACAATATAACACTGTCCATCAATAAAAGGGTGAAATAAATACTGACGAGGTCCTGATATTGACGAGGGGGCGGAGAATTCGCATCAGCTGTGTGTGTGTGTGTGTGTGTGTGTGTGTGTGTGTGTGTGCTGGCCATCATCAAGTGGTATTTCAGACTGGACGTGCTGCGATGATAGCTCAGTTCACAACGACAAAACACACAGATCACTTTGGTCTTGTCAATGGAACCATTTGGCAACTTTTTAAAAGTAAACTTTCCATTCAGAATCTTATTGGCATCCATTTCGGCGTCTCGTGCTCGTCATCCACTCAAAACTGGACGT